ATTTGCTGATTTTCATTGCTTTATGCATTTCATTAAAAAAAAAAAAAAAGCCCTTACCTCTTCTTCTTCCCATCCTTCTTTTCCTTGATCCTCCAGAACCCCGTTTTCGTCTTCGCCTGCTGCGATTAGGATTTCTGCAGCTACATCGTGACATTTTCCTGGGGTTCTGGGGATGTTCTAAGCTAGTCAAGGATCAAGAGGAGCATTTCTTCCAACGAAGCCAGAGCAGCTTGTTCTGCAAGATGGTGATTGAGTTTATGAAGCTCTGCTGCCTCCTACACTTTTATTTAAAGGGTTTAGCGATTATGACCTCATCTCTTTGAAATGACAACTTCTGTGGCTTAAATGTGATCAGATATGAGACAAAGGGATTGACTATGAAATTATTTTATCTTGGGCAAACAATTGATAGCCCTAATTTGTCTCTGAAATACTGTACCTTCACTGAATAGAAAAGAAAGGGAGAATGGAATTTACCAAAGGAAACAAGAAAAGAAATAAAGAATAGTAACTTATAACTTCCATTTTCATATTCGGGGGTGGGGGGGGGAATCAAACTGTATCTTGATGTAAGAACTTTTTAGAACTTTTTAAAATTACTTTTAGAAGGAGCACAGTGACCTTGTTCCTACATGTTTACACTCTACCATTTCTCTTGATTTTCTGGCAAACTTACCACTTCTTCTACTGGCTGCCACCAAAAAGGCAAAATCAAAAAAATTGTCTTCCTAATATAAGAAGGTGTTTCCCAATTTTTTTTAAAAAAATTGTCATTTATTTTATATTGATATTATATTATATTGATTACTGTTATCGCACGAGCCAGATAGATCGGGCTGGATTTCACCACTGCTCTGTAACTAAGGAAATTCTCTAGTATCATTTCCAAGACTCTCGTGTTCTCCAACCTCACATAAATTGAGGTGATTTATTTATCTTAACTACAATGCCTCCAGACTTACAAAAATGCTATTTTTCAGTTTAACAATGCTGAAACTCTGTAACATTTGTGGGTGGACTGTTTTCACAATCGGTTTCTTCCCATTAATAGGGACTCTTGCCTCATGCTTTCACACCTGGGGTTTGTTTTTTAGCTTTAGGAGGCATAGATGACATTTCTGTGGGTGTGAGGGGTGCAGGGCAGCGGTGAAATGCTCTCAGTTTGGACCGTATCCGATCAGGCGATCCGGTAGCGATGGCGGGTGGTGGTTCAGAGAACTGGTAGCAAAAATCCCTGCCCCACCCCCACATGCCCAGCTGAGCTGCACAATCATCAGAGGCTTTTTTTTTTTACAATTAAAAGGATTTTTTCTACAACCTCTTCGGCCAAAAAAATGCTTTTAAAAGTAAAAAAAAAAAAGCCTCTGATGATCGTGCAGCTCAGCTGGGAACATCAGAATGTCACTGCGGCTGCGTGTAGCGCTAACTTTAAACGTCAATGCCGGCTTGTGCCTTGCTTCTGCCTGTGTTGCTGTGTTTACCTGATTAAAGACGCTACAAACTGCTTTGTTTCCTTCTGGTTACTGGTTGCTTCCAGAGCGGTTGGGTGGACAAGCCGAGACTATTCCCTTTGATTATTTGGAAATTTTTCTCCTCCCCTTTTTAAACTTGTTTTATATTATACTTGGATCATACAAGCTCAAGTTGTATACACTGCAGACCTCCAAAAATAATAATTTTGGCAAGAGCATTACTTCAATACCAACTTTGACAGTAAAGGTACATATTTTAGTCTCTGCTTGCTATCTAAAAACTAGAACTGTTCTAGTGTTTCAAAAACATATTTTAAAAAGTGAGGAGGTAGGCCTTGTTGTGTTTTCAAGATACAGTACCTGCCTACACATTATTTTTTTAGGGTTTTAACAGAATAACAGAGTTGGACGTCTTCTAGTCCAACCCACTGCCCTGACATGAATAATTCAATCCAAATAACTTTGAGAAACTTTTTGTTAGATAAAGAGATGTGTTTGAAATTGTCCAGCTTTTTATGATCAAGCATCCACAGTTCTTGCACAGAATTTTTCTACAGAATGATTTATTTGTGTCATGTTGATAAATTACATTTAGAATAGAATAGAATTATAGAATTGGAAGGGACCTTAGAGGTCTTCTAGTCCAACTTAGGCAGGAAACCCTAAACCACTTCAGACAAATGGTTATCCAACCTCTTCTTAAAAATTTCCAGTGTTGGAGCATTCACAACTTCTGCAGGCAAGTTGTTCCACTTATTAAGTGTTCTAACCACACTTAATAAGTGGAACAACTTGCCATCAGGAAATTTCTCCTTAGTTCTAAGTTGCTTCTCTCCTTGGTTAGTTTCCACTCATTGCTTCTTGTTCTGCCTTCAGAATAGCTTGACCCCTCTTCTTTGTGGCAGCCCCTGAGATATTGGAACATGCTATCATGGCTCCCCTAGTCCTTCTTTTTATTAAACTCGACATACCCAGTTCCTGCAACCGTTCTTCATATGTTTTAGCCTCCAGTCCCCTAATCATCTTGGTTGCTCTTCTCTGCACTCTTTCTAGAGTCTCAACATTTTTTTTACATCATGGCAACCAAAACTGAATGCAGTATTCCAAGTATAATGCCTTACCAAGGCATTATAAAGTGGTATTAACACTTCAGGTGTTCTTGATTCTATCCCTCTGTTTATGCAGCCTAGAATTATGTTGGCTTTGTTTGTTTAAAAAAATTGCATGCATTATGGCATTTTCCAAGTGGTGGACCTCATTCTAATGAAGGAAACTATTTTGAGCAGTTAGACCTCAGATCTACAAGCTCAGACTTGGAAAAGTTTCCACTCCTGCTTTGTTAATCAACTCTCCCATGTCAGTTAAATTGCTTACTGTGACCACTTCAATTTTGTTTTCTATAATTTGAAGTGCCTTCAGAGTAACTTCAGCTTTGCACATCCAATATTGTTTTGTAAGGAGTCAAATCAACATCCTCCAAAAGTCTTTTTTTTTGTACAACCTGATGATTTATCACAAATTCAGTGAATTGGCCAGAATTAAAATCTACAATAGCTTTAAGACTGTGAGGATTTTTTCAAAATATTCCTTCTTTTTTGAACTCTTTCATTAAACCTATTTTTGGCATGCAGTGTTATGCAAACTTTTGCATTTCAGTCCTTTAATTTTTTTCTTCTTCCTTGAGTAGGTTGCATGCTATTAAAAAAACCAACTGACCCTTGCCAGTTTACACTGTTATTTCTGTCATTTGCTGCATTAATATCAAAATACTACTTAAATTATTTCCAGGATTTTATTGGATTTTCACTCATCAGTTAAATCCCAGTAGGTGTATTCGTTAAATTGCTTTCAATGGGCTTTTTAAATTGCCAGGAATCATGAGCAACCAAAGGACAAAATGATGGAGTGATGTATAATAGAAAAACATTAGAGCTCAAAATTTCAATTTAAGTAGAATAACAGGAAATATGGAGAACATTGGAAGATTATTATATTAGGTGTTTAACATTTAAGTAAGGCTTTAAGGGATACACACAAAACTGAAGCTACAGATTGTATACCACTACACCAGGAGTAACCAAAGAAAATAATGGCCATTTCTGGTTCAAATCATTTTACCTGATGCTAATTTGTACAGATATAAACATCCAGTAGATACAAGTCAACACCTTAATCAATGAGAATTATTGGACGGAAACAAGGCCAGTTGCCACTGATCAATTATTGGATCTAGAAGTGAATAATAATAATAATAGTTCTGCTAATTTTTCTGCATCTTTGGAGAGTTTTTGCAAAAATAGTCAATCACTTCTTGCAGATGGGACAGAAATGACATTGGTTGTTCTTGTAGTTGACCAGTAGAAAGATATACATGGGAACTGTGGTTCTTCTTATCTTTTTTACACTCTCAGTGGCATTTGATAACAGCTGTACTGATATTATTTTGAGCCAAATGTAAGGGTTGGCAGTTGTGAGCATTGTTTTATGTAGATGCCACTCCTTACTGAGCAGTGGTCTCAATGGGCATTCCTGAGGAGAAGAAGTTGGCATATCGGTGTAGGATGCCTCGATCCTTAGCCATCTTCTCTTGTCTTTTTCAAAATCCACTTGAAATCACAAATAATTCATCCTTTTTTAAAGTGAAATATTATCAGTATGCTTATGGTATCTATCTTTACATTTCTTCTGGGCACAGGAGAAAAAGCAGTGGGAAATTTTGACCCATCTCTTGTGAGATGTAGTGCTTATTGATTAATTCTCAATTTCCAAAAGGTCTTTGTCTGTAGCTTAGATAGGATGATACTATCCTGAGAGTAGGTCCACAACTGTTGGACAGGCAAGTAGAGGACGTGACTGAGAAACTTTGCCCAGCTTTGATTTGTGTAGCAGTTGAGGTCTTTCAAAAACAAAAATCAGGAGGCTCTGGTAACCCTTATTGTGCATGTTTTGCTAAGTTTGTATGTTTACTAATGCAATGCACCAGGGGTGAAATCCAGCAGGTTCTGACAGGTTCTGGAAAACCGGTAGTGGAAATTTTGGGCAGTTCGGAGAACCAGTAGCGGAAATTTTGAGTAGTTTGGAGGAACCGGCAAATGTCACCTCTGGGTGGCCCCAGAATGGGGTGAGAATGCAGATTTTGCAATACCCTTCCCTCCAGGAGTGGAGAGGGAATGGGGATTTTGCAGTATCCTTCCCCTGCCACGCCCACCAAGCCACGCCCACAGAACTGGTAGTAAAAAAATTTGGATTTCACCACTGTAATGCACTCAAGGTGGGGATCCTTTCAAATAAAGTTCAGAAATTACAGCCAAAGCACTGCAATATTTAATAAGGAGGGAAATATGGCTATCGTAGCTTCTAATAAAGTTCAGTGAGGTGGTGATCATTCTTGAGACAAAGATGGAATGCTGACATTTGAAAATAAGTGAATTAGAATAATATAATTCATCGAGCAGAATGGAAAAAAAACATTTTTTAAAGAGAAAAAAAGACAAAAATATTGAGAAGTTATACTGCAGGGTACTGGCATGAATTATGTCACAATTTATCTTTATGATGTCATCAATGTAGCAGTTACATACTGCTATTTAGTTATTAACAAAACAGTTCAGCAGTCATTGGGGCAGCAAACTAGTGGCAGGTAAGGCTTTTTAAATGGCTGTTTACATTGAGCATTAAAAAAAATAGCTGAAGTTTTGTTTTCGGATGGATGAGCGTATGATCAGATCACCTTCAAATCCGTGTTGTTTCAAAGCTGTTGCCTACATTTCTTTGCTGGAAAATAAAGCAAAGAAAATCGATCAAATCATCTCCCATCAACATAGTAATTATTGTAATAACAACACAAGTAGAAAGTAATGTTTTAAAAAAGGAATACAAAACTACTTATAATATTTCTTATTACATAACAATAATCTAAGAGTATCGTAATGTATCGTAATTCATATTTTATAAAGACTGAATTGACACGAAAGTCTTCTTGTGATTTGTTTGTGTATTTCCGTAGTCAGAATAACACCACCATCTGAGGATGACCAGTTGAATTTCCATCTTATCTTGGCCCGAAAATTGTAAACTATGTCGCGGTACCTGCGCCAGAGCAGCAGAAGCAGGAGGCTGCACCGCAGTAGGCGATTAAAACAAAGGAGGAGAGCTGGTAGAAGACAGCGGAGGCTGCATAAGAAAGGTTTTTAAAAATAACTAAGACTTTTGAAAGGAAGATTAAGAAATGTCGAGAAATTCTTATACGGAAGGAAAGCATTGTGCTGCTTTCTTTTCAGTTTTGATTTTCCAAGACAATTTATTATATAAATATTTTAAAATGTACAATTATTGAATAATCATACAGGAAAGTTTTTATCATGAAAAGGTGATTAGGCAGTACTAGACCTATTATTTTACTTTGAAATTAATGAAACACGTTTCTTATGACTTAATTCCCACTATTTTCAATTAACTTCTTCCAATGGCAAGTTTAAGAGCCATCACGTGCCAGGTTTAAATATACAGCATCTTTTACATATTACTTTTACAAGTTGTAATGTGATCATTCTTTTTCACTATTTACATTTGTTCATACATTATGTATATTTGTACCAACCTTTTTGATTATTTAATAAAGGAATACGGCAGGCTCATTACCGGAAGAGCTCCTTTTCAGCCTAGCCATCTTCAGCTCCTGAAATAGGACAACTTCAATCCCCAAAAGCAACATGTCGGGAGACCAGGATTGTGATATCTGATCCACCAAGTTTCTGCAACCATTCCTGCTGGACAATAAACTTTTTGAGCATCGCTTGGACTGCTTTTCATCTCTCTGTAAAATATACTGTTGGGGAAAAACTCTGATCATAGTTTGAAATATGAGAATAAAATATAAGGATGTGGGGGTATATTAGATCCAAACTCTTTTAGAGAGACGCAAATGATTGTTTGCTCTTTTTTTTAGAACATGTGGAATCTCATGGGGAGCAAGTGATTGAATTCTCCGCTTCTTTTCTTTTCCATTCACAGAAGCTTTGAGAGCACTTAGCAATAGCATTTAGACTTATATACCGCTTCATAATGTTTTAGAGCCCTCTCTAAACAGTTTACAGCGTCTGTATATTGCCCCCAACAATCTGGGTCTTCATTTTACCGATCTCAGAGGGATGAGAGGCTGACTCAACCTTAAGCCTGTGGGACTGGAACTGCCCAACTGCTGGTGGCCGGCAGTCAGCAGAAGTAGCCTGCAGTACGGCATTCTAACCACTGTGCCACATGGCTCTTTATTTATTTATTTATTGGTTCGATTTATATGCCGCCCTTCTCCAGAGACTCAGGGCGGCTTACAATCCGTTAAGCAATAGCCTTCATACTTTTGTATATACTGCTTAGTAGGGCTTTCGGGGGGCCCCAAAGCGGTGTTCTTTTTTATACAAAGTCAGCTTATTGCCCCCACAATCCGGGTCCTCATTTTACCTACCTCAGAAGGATGGAAGGCTGAGTCAACCTTGAGCCTGGTGAGATTTGAACTTGCAGTAATTGCAGGCAGCTGGTGCTATTTAACAGCACTTTAGTCTGCTGCGCCACCAAGGCTCTTAAAATAAATAAATAAATACAATAAATACAATAAATAAATAAATATGATGGGAGTTAAACTCCAAATATTTGAAAGATAGAAACAAAAAGGCTATGATCACCAATAGTTCACATGGACTGATAATACTAGCCTTGACTAACCTATATTCATTATAGATTATGGAAATGCTGTAGACAAAATATTTTGCAAATCATGGCAAAATATCCTTATGACATTAAAATTAGTGAATCAGTTAAAAGTGTGCTAGTTTACATGAAGCGAATATACAGCTGGTTCAAAAATGTAATTCAGTGGGATTTTAATAATGCTTTTTCAGAATAGAAAAAAGGAAGTTATAATATGGAGTTGAACAAGATCCCAGTAAGGAATAACCTGGGGAAATTAATTGTAATATTATATTGATCAATTTGAAACATTAATTGAAAACTATTAGAATTCTAAGAGTACATAGAATGGAAGTATATGACTAGGCAATACTCATTGTAAAATTATATTTTTTCCAAAAATAGTTATTTTCAAATTGAATATGAAATAAGGTATCTAGGGCAATTTTTAAAATAAAGAAGTTTATTATATGACTTCTTTTAAATACATGGAATTATTTCTAGAGAAATGTATTTTTATTTAATAATTTTAATTGTTAAATCAATATTAATATAAATGGATGATTGAAATCTCCCATGAGTGCATGGGGAATATGTGGTTAAAATGAATATTTTAGAACAATATACTTATATGGTCCACTAAATTAATGGACCAGTGAAATTTAGTGGACATAATATACTTGGATTTCAATAAGGCATTTGACAAAGTAGACCACAACCTACTTCTTGATAAGCTAAAAAAAAATGATATACAGCATCACCAGATGGATGGATATATACCTGGCTGACAAACTGCACTCAAGGTGCAATCCTCAATGGAACTACATCAACATGGAGGGAGGTAAGCAGTGGGGTACCCACGATTCCATTTTAGGCCCAGTACTGTTCAATATCTTCATAAATTATTCAGATGAGGGAATAGAAGGGGAACTCATTAAATTGGCAGATAATACTAAACTGGCAGGAATAGACAACATCCCAGAAGACAAGCTCAAGATCCAGATGGATCTCAACATCGGAGAACACCGATGTTGAGATCCATCTCAACATCGGACCTTATCTAACAAAACACCGGACCTTATCTAACAAAATGAAATTCAATGTAGAGAAAAGTAGGCAAGAAAAAAAATGTACAGATGTACATTGGGTGAAACCTGGCTCTATAGCAGTAACTATGAGTGGTATTTTGGAGTCCTACTGGACAAACACTTAAATATGAGCCAGCAGTGTGCAGCAGCTGCCAAAAACCCCAATGCAATTCTAGGCTGCATTAACAGAAGAATATAATCAAAATCACATGAAGTATTAGTAGTACTTTATAAAATGTTAGTAAGATCACACTAGGAGAATTGCATCATTTTGGTCACTATATTATAAGAAAGATGTTGAGACTCTGGAAAGAGTGCAGAAAAGATGATTAGAAGGCTGGAGGGTAAAACATATGAAGAATGGTTGCAGGAATTGAGTATGTCTAATGAAAAGAAAGACTAGGAGTGATATGATAGCATATTCCAATATTTGAGAGGCTGCCACAAAGAAGAGCAGATCAACGTATTTTCTGAAACACCAGAAGTAAGGCAAGAAACAATGGATGGAAATTAATCAAGGAGAGAAGCAACCTGGAATTAAAGAGGAATTTCCTAACAGTGAAGAGAATTAACCAGTGGAACAGCTTGCCTTCAGAAGCTGTGGGTGCTCCATCACTGGAAACTTTTAAGAAGAGACTGGGCAGCCAATTGTCTGGAATGGTATAGGACATGGCTGTCAAAATTGCAGTCCGCGAGCCAGATGTGTCATGTGCTGGCCACGCCCACACCCAGTTTAGCGAAGGGGGGAAAGTCCCTATACGTTACATGATGCCACTGTGATGACATGACTTTTACACCCCTGGTATAGAGTCTCCTGCTTGAGCAGAGGGTTAGACTAGATGACCTCTGAGATCCCTTCCAACTGTTATTCTAAACATATTCTAGAAAAGTCTCATAATTGAAATAAATAAAAGTTATTATTGGATCCTCTAATATGTTAGTAGGACTTCGGTACTTCTTTTAGGCAAAATTCTGTTGTTTCCTGCCCATTGAAATTTATTTGGAAGATATTTGGATGACAGTTTGATTCCTGTTCACATGAAAAATTAACAGGTTGAGATAATGTTAATTAAAAACCTGCAGACAAATGCTTTTTTCCCCTTTTTCCTCCCTTTTGAATAATTGAATGAAGGACAGCAATTTAATTATTTTTCCCAAAAATGTCATGCATTGCAAGAATATGGGCTATTCATCTTCTATTTTCTTAATGTGGACATGGATGGTTAGCACTTCTAAAGCTTACTTGTTCTGCTGAAAAATGTTTCAAAATTGTTTAAATTTACAGTTTACTTCTATAGACACGTGAAGAATTGCTTTCTGTATTTTGTTTCATTGTGGGTTTTTGTTTTTGTTTTGATTCAGAAGTATGTAGCTTTAAACTTTGCTGTAATTTGTTTTTATAAATTGGAAAAATGATAAATAAACAAACAAATAAATAAATAAAAGTTTTAAAATTGAATATGAGCCAAGAGTGTAATATTTCAGAAAAGGCTGATACAAGTTTATGTTATATCAAGCATAACTGAAGAGAACTAAACTAAACATAAATAAAACTAAAATTTGCGAAGTATAGGTTGAACAACTATACTTCCTGCATTGCTGACTTCAAAGTTCACCACGACTTAAGAGTAAGAGTAAAAATTGCTAATGTAGTAAAGCTAAAAAAGGGAGTAGTTGTTTCTCATTTGGACAATTTAGGCATTGATATATTTTGTTTTTATCTTAATTACCACTAGTCTCCTTGTTAAAAGAAAATAGAAAAAAGTCTGGATAAATAAAAGTAGAAACTACCATTCTTCATGATTGTTAAGTCACCTGATAGCAAATTTCATTGAAATTAGTGGGTCAGATGTGTAGAGAAGATTGAACTTCTAGCTTATCCTTCAGCTCTGAAAGACCATTTCTAACTATTGCTTTATATAATTGTCAGTGAATTAGTCTGTAAATTTTAAGATATTTCATTTTGTTGAAAGAAAATGTTTTTTCCTGTAATAGCTGGCAGTTGCTATATATGGTCATGTTGCATCAAACAAAAGGCCAGAGTAATAGTGCCATATTATTATCGATTTTATAAAAGAGGGACCTGAGATAGTCATGCTTCAGAAACTCTCAAAACACCTGAGTAGACAGGTTGGCTAAAGAGGCCACATAATCATGTCTCTGCTCCTAAAATCTTGAAAGATCAAGCAACATGGCAAGGCACAGAAGAGTATCCTGCAAAAATCCTGAACGTAAAGTACCTCCAAGCAGGAGGAATAAAAGGTGCCGCAAAATCTATGATTCACCTCTAAAAAAGAAGAATGGTAAACTTCTCATTTATACTGTTATACTGTGTGGATATAAGCAGGGGTGGGCTTCAGATCCTTTAGCAACGGGTTCACTACCCCGCTGCTGGGTGTGCGTGGCCATGTTTAGGCGTGGCCTAGTCAGAGCCTCTGGGAGGGTGAAAACTGCTTCCCCCGGGGCCCAGAGGCCCTCTGGAGGCCGGAAACACTCCCGTTTCTGGACTTCTGGGACTTCTGGGAGGCCCGTTTTTCACCCTCCCAGACCCTCTGTGTGGCCGCTGCACTTAAGGGAATGATAAACGGGCCATGTGGAGACTCATGGGAGGGGAGGGGTGAGCGTGGCCAGCCAGGGATGGCATTTGGGGGATCACCGAACCCCGACGATCCTTGGCTAGAGGATCACCTAAACCCTGCCGAACATCCAGGAGCCCACCCCTGGATATAAGGCTCTTGGGAAATAGTATGAACAGGGATATTGGGGAATCTTAACTATTTTGAAAGAATGTTTTTACAGTCAACTTGCATTTTGTTTTGGACAGGATACGTCCGTGTCTGTGCTACATACTACTACTGGAAAGATGGAAAAAAATAATTTCCAGTGCGGAATGATTCC